AGTAACTTGTTGGGTAGGTGGGTATGGGTATGGTATGTAATATGTTTACATGAGTAACTTGTTGGGTAGGTGGGTATGGGTATGGTATGTAATATGTTTACATGAGTAACTTGTTGGGTAGGTGGGTATGGGTATGGTATNAGTAACTTGTTGGGTAGGTGGGTATGGGTATGGTATATGATATGTTTACATAAGTAACTTGTTGGGTAGGTGGGTGTGGGTATGGTATATATGTTTACATAAGTAACTTGTTGGGTAGGTGGGTATGGTATATGATACGCTTACATAAGTAGTTTGTTGAGTAGGTGGGTATGGGTATGGTAATGATAAGTATAGGTTATTAGGTGGATATAAGTATGGATTATTATGGTATATTACATGTCAATATAAGTAGGATCAGATGTCTTATAAGTAGGCATTCAACAATTTTTCTATCGCTCACACCCTTCACTGGTCATGGCTGCAGTTCTCATATAGTATATTTAGTGCTTCAGAAATCAATATACAGTTCATCATAAAATAACTGTTATGAATGTCGCGTTCTGATTGGTTTGGAGCGTGTGCTTTATGAGAGCACATTGCACCTGCGCGCACTTTCCGTTGCGTCATTCCTATCTATTATTGTAATTTGTATTTCATAAAAGAAATAAAAAACTTGCTTGCTGTGCTGTGTGCAGTCATAAAGCAAGTCCGCTATGCGTCGTGCTTCTCCTAACACTTCTCTCGTGTTCTGCCAACCCCCRTGTGCTTTATGACGGCACACAGCACGCGCACGCGTTTTCTATTTTTTCAATGGTGGATGGATAGTATATAGTGGATAATCGATAGCAAAATTGCTCAAATTTAACTCACTGAAGTTAGAAAAAAAACTCATTAAAAAATTTTTAATCAGGAGTGCCAGAATTAAGTTCTGGGTATGAATTTTGATAAATATTCAGCAGAAATTACAGTGCGACTACTCCAACCAAAGCCACCTCGACAAATTTTCCACAAATTATCCAATAGAGTATTTAGACAATAGATTAGCGGCAAATTTTGAATTTAAATATTCTTCCATTGTTCCGGTTCATGGTAAAACTAAATGATGAAGAAGAGCTTGTAATATATTTTCTTTGTATAAATTAGTGATTTGTGTCACCAAAGATATAGAAAAATAGTAATGTACGACTTCAAATATGACAGGAAAGCAAATCAGAGACCATATAAAACACAGTCTTTATGATTAAAGTTTGTTTCTTCCAGACAAAGATATTATCAGGCTGACACTGTTAGATCTTATCACTATGTTGCTATGCTATAGCACGTTTATATTCGACAACAAAGGTGCCGGCAGTCTTCTAAGCCGTGTTAACCCATGGATATTTGTCCGATTTGTAGCAATTCTATTGTTCAGATTCCTACTTTTGATTGGCTAATTTGTGGAAAATTTGTTGAGGTGGCTTTGGTTGGAGTAGTCGCACTGTAATGTCTACGTTGACTTACACCAACAGAGATCAAAGGCACTTTTGAAATTAATTAATTTGCAGAGAAGTAGGCTTATAATCTTCACAAGGTTTGGATGGTTGAGGATTCTTAAGGCTATTAAGAACTGCAGTTGTCCAAAAGTGAAGAGGGTGAGTGCTAGAAAAGCTGTATGCAGCGCTAGCCTCGCTCATTATAATCATTAATATTCCCTTTCTGAGTGAATATTCCCTTTCTGAGTTCCCTGCACCATCTTGAAAGGTAGCCGTGCTTTAAAATCAAAGCAAGACAAACGGCGAGCTTGCAGCAATGATAAAGATCTTTTTTTTAACACCTTGGACATTATTATTCATGTCTCTATCACTGCAAGCTCGCTTGGATGCAAAGGCACTGCTTTCTTTCAAGATGGCACAGGGAAATCAGTTAAGGGGACTATTAATCTTGAGGAAAGAATAAGAAAAGATTTCATGTGAACATAATATATAGAAAGCAGTGTCATGTGGCAGATCATGATCTACCAGCATTGTGGATTTAACACTTGTGTATGCATGGATGCCCATGGCTTAAGTCTGCTTTACATGATTTTCAGTCAGAAATCTGATCTTATAAATAATAATATAATACTACCAGATAATCTTATTTATCTTGCCAAGAAAAGTTTTCACCTCTACAATTTCTCCTTCCTCCTTCCAATTAACTCATTCTCCTATACACAAAGATGTAAACAGCATTTTCTTAGCATTTTCATGTCATGACAATATAATATATAACAATAAAATAATAATAATTAAATAACATACTAGCTGATCAACAAACATTATAAATCAATTTTTAACTAATTGAAATACAGTAAAGCGCTGCAGGATAATGACAGTTTGTAACAAGTCTCGACAATACAAATAAATTTATACTATCATCAAGCATGCAAATTAGAGCCAGACATTGGACATATATTTGTCTTAGTATTTATTAAGTACACTTAATTCGGTACTCCTACGGAGTACAATTAATGCTATAATTATACTCCTTGCGATCRATCAGAGTCGAGTAATTTTGTTAATTGTACTCCGTAGGAGTACCGAATTAAGTCGTTATGGCAACACGGCCAAAACAATGTCAAAACAATTATTTTTTATCATTTTGTACTTAAAAAACATATAAATAAAATTTTAAAGCCATAAGAACTAATCTTTTTTATGCATTTCAGTTGYGCGATGGACTGAAAATCAGCTGCCAAATAGACAAAGATGAACGGCATCGCCTCGCATTTTTTACTGAAATTTTGTTGAGTGAACTATAAACAAAAAACCGCACGATCTTCTCGTACGATTTGGAATTAATAGACACTCGTTATGTTTTGAAAGTTCTTTTACAAGAACTTTCAAAACATTACTCGTGTCTATCAATTTCCAAATTGTACTCGAGATCGTGCCATTTCCTATACAAATACACAGGTGATTCTTTCAAAAAAAAAAAAAGAAAAAGAAGAAGATAAAAGACACATTTAAAATTAGGAATCAGCATTACAAAGGAGCGGGCCGCCATTTTGGATTATTGCTGGAGGTGATTTTCGTGTGAAAATCTGAGTTTCTCAACCAATCAGCACGCGAGGTTTTCAATAATCACCAGTGTATTTATACTAATACCAAATAATTAGCCCTGCAGACAGACTATAATTGGACTACTTGATTTGCAAGTCTTTTAGTGATGCTAGTCTGTTCCTGTTCCAATACATTCTGTCTGATATTAGTCAAACAGTCAATGCTTTTGGCTTTGGGCTACGAGTTCTGATCAGTAGTTAAGTAATTAATAAGGCTGTTTTTCACCTGAGTAGTTGAAATTCGAATTGGCATAGTTTGGAGTCAAAGCCGGAAGCAGTTCAAGCATAAATTGGGTGGTTCCAGAAAATATCCATCCCCCACCATGGAGGAAATTGTGAATTCCCAGGGGGTGGTGGTCAGAGGGGRAAAAAATGACAAGGTTTATATGGAAGAAAATTGGATATTCCAGATGGGTGGGGCGACCTTTTTCAAATTTCCTACAATTAATATATGGTGTGTATGGAAATTTTCTGGAACCATACATTGCAAGTGAAAACTAAGGGAAAAAATTTCGTTCCTTCGATTCCACTTCTGACTTGATTATAATTACCACTCCATTTTCTGATTTTCACTTTGTCATTTAGGTTTTTTAAGTTGCTTCCGATTCTGATTCCGACTTTGATTTTCTAGCTAACTGGTGAAAACCAGCCTAGTCTTTAACTAAGAGTATCTAAGCTGATTTTAACTAAAGTTAAGTTGACCATAAGTACATTATTTGCTGATGACGGCTCTTAACAAGTAATATTAATTAATAAAGTTCACATTGCCAGTTTGAAATCTTCAGTAGATAGCTAAATTAATAGTATCATAACCTTAGCAATAATGAGCAATTACTAAACTAAAAGAAATTTTTAAGCAAGATAATAATAATTTATGTCAAATGAACTATTACATTTCATTGACCTCTCGTTCAGTTCCCCAAACTCGAGGACCTCAGGAAACATGCAGAGGGAAGAATAAAAATGGAACAAAAATCCTTGGGGGTATCGCAGGGGCAGGTTTGGGAAAAGCCAAATCTTAAGATTGTAATTAAAACCCTATGGGGTAAGGTAGTGGGAGGGCRGGCGTAATTAAGGTATCAGGGTACCCYTAGCGACCATTGAGCATTCAACTCTTAATAGCGCAAAACCTTTTAATCGAAACCTCAACAGAGTATACGTTTTCTGAAAGCTGAATAAATTCAGAAACTATTCCTTTTTTCCTTTTTGTAAAATATGTTTATCCTTTTAAGTTAGAGCGAGTTATTCAAATTTTCACTGTGGCATCTTCGCGGAGTTCGATGACAGCCGGTAATGATCGGAAACCAATGCTTGTTACCTTTCCAAGATCACAAAACATTACTTGTCAAAAGTGTGTCTCCGATTTTTGATTAGTTGCCCAGTTGCTTTTTTATACGCTCCTAAAGTTATGACGCTGCTATATTAGCTGTATCTGAGCCAAAATCCACGATAACTTTTGGAAATAAGCAAAAAATCAAAAATCCAAGATGTCTTCCTCAAAATTTCAGTTAAATCGGTCAAATTTCCTTTGACATCAGACTCAAAATGTACGGGTAACTGAATGCAAAATCACTTCTGAGAAAAACGCAAAAATGTTTCCGACTGAGTGGAAGTGCCTTTGTCGACACAAACCGTATTTTTTCATTACTCGCTATTAAAAATCACTATCGAAATTTTTKGGGGGAAAATCGAAGAATATTATATATTTTATCGCAAAATGTGAAAATGTAAAAATCGATACTTTTGAGTAATTTTGGGATACCCTAGAATGCTGTAATATAACAGTTTAGAAAAGGATAATGTTCGAGAAAATCTGAAATCTTAATTTTTCATAAAGGATTCAGGATTTTTGGTCAACCACCTCCGAAAGAATTCAGAAAGCTGTCTGAAAAAAATTTGAAGGGTCTTTAATATGTCATAGTTTATCTAAAATAATTACCATTCTATTTCTGCAGCAATGCAGAATGTGGCTATAGTAGTACCCCTTCGGTATCGTGACATTGCAGCAGGAACATATGATGCGCCTGAAATTGCATCTGTTTGCATGGTCCTTCAAAAGAAAGCAAAATATTTTAAAGCTAAATAAATAGTAAGGCCAACAATGCACTGCATGTACACGTTTTGACAAACACTCCCTAATTATAAATACTGATTGACACCCACGAGCTAGCACAATGCTCGAGTGCTTATGTGGGTCAGATCAGAATTGAAAAACCTATTGCAATCATGAATACATTTAATAATAAGCTCACCTCTGCAAGATGCTTTTCTTGGCCTATCCATTTACAGCCACCTTCATGGTTTGCACACCAAACTATATCCATCTTATATAAAATAAAGAAATGTGGTTTGTGGCCAGTGAAGTTTGTTTGTGTACATTAGGATACAAGAAATGGCAATTGTTCTTTTCTGTAGGAGCCAGGACCAAAACTCTGGATATTAAGTTTTAGTATAAGTACACAGGTGATTATTGAGAATCTCACGCGCTCATTGGTCGAGAAACTCAGATTATCACACAATAATCACCTCCAGCGATAATCCAAAATGGCGGCCAGCCGCTTTTTTGCTGTTACCGGGAAAAAATGTGTCTTATCTTTTTTATTCCTTTTTTTGAAAGAATCACCTGTGTATTTATACTAAAACAATTATTCACCTCAGGCTCAGTGAATATTGGGAACCTCAACTTTGTTTCGTTATTATTGCCCAATATTCACTGAGCCTGAGGTGATTAATTGTTAAATAATTATTTCAAAATTTGATGAAATAGGGTTCTTCTGTTGCCATAGCAACTTAATCTTTGTATCATATTTTGTGGTCATTGTTTATAATCATGCACAGTCTTCTGGGCCGTCTAGCCACCGTCATATATGATACATATAACATTCTTTTTTTTTTGTGGTGAGCATTATGGTTAAAGTATTTCTATATAAGAAAAAAAAAGTGCATTCCAGCCTCCTTAAAGTGTTGAACCTCTGAACCTTGAGGCTCAATGGTAACTTATCTTAACAATCATTGGGACTATGATACCAATGTATTTTTGCTAAAAAATAATAAAAGCGAACCGTAATTATAATTAATAGCAATTTTGAAAATCTGTAGGAATATTGAAATATAAAATCTGTGCAGTGGTATGTGTTAATGCAATGATGAATTTAAAGAATATGGCGTAGTAGAAATCACTATACTAGTAGAATCGTAAAAAATAAATACTCTCCAAATCAAACTATTGAAAAACATACAAAGCTATAGGCTTTAGTATTCTATTCATAAACTTCTAATAGAGTTTTAGTTTCTTTAAGACCCATTAGTTAGCTAGTCAAAAATAAGCTTATATATTAGGAATCCACTAAGTACTTGTTTAGCTATCTTTTGAAGCTTTGGTAAAGTTTTGAGTGCTTAAAAGGGATTTTATCTTATAAACGAGTTTTGGTAAAAACGAAAGCAAAAGATTGCTGCGTTTTATAAAAATGGCGGCGAGAAAGAAGGGACGGAATATCGAAGAATCAAGCCAACATTTCTGACAGATCGATGTGGATAGGGAAGGTTAATCATAGCTCACCTGATGAATCTTCTTCTCAGCCATTCGTCTGAGGTATTTTTGCCAGCCTTGCGACTAAAATACTTAAAAAAAACTACCCCAACCTCTCAATTGCTGTGGTCAAGCAAACCACTCCTTTTGAAGGATACCGTAATATGATGCAACTGTTTGAATTATCAGTGCACGTGTGATGGATTAAATTTTTGAGGTGGGGAGGGGGGGGGAGGCGAAAACCAAAAAAAAAAAATTCGAGCACAGCTTTAAAGAGTGAAAAAAAATCGCTCATGAGAAAAGAAAAGTGCCAGAAAAAAATCCAATTTATGTCAACAAAAAAAAAAAATTCCTGCACAGCCATGAGGTTTGAAAGATTCCTGCACAAAATCAATTGCCCAATCCCCCCTCCCCCCTCAAATCTAATGGTCCGTATTTTGACGTCATCAGTTCTAATTTTCAAATACAGCTCAACAATAAGTCTCCAAAATGCACAGGACTTCTACATTGTCTTTATCTCCTTTGACTATAAGATTCGTGGCGTCGCTATTGTCAGTGAGGTTTTATGTCTATGTTTTCTTCGATGATATCCGATATGACTGATATAACCCGCTGTAACGTCATTGTCGTCCGTCTAAGATTTTTTTTTTTTTTTTTTTTTTGCTTTTACATTTTGGTTTGTTTTGTTTAACTATATTTTACCTTATTTTATTTAGAAAATTAAATATTATTACTTGTTACTAGTATCGATGTTATGCTATACACAACACACGTATATATGTGCTTGAGGTGTCTGAGAGGTGGCACTTGGACACGACGGCCATGCCGTAACGTGTTTTAATTTTTAAACGACAAGCAATTATCATTAATGGCAGTACATAAATAAGGTCAATCAGTGCTAAAGCTAAGGCAAGTTGCGTGGGGAATCTCATTTATTTTCACAGAGGAAACAGAAAATCCCGTCATGCGAGGAAAGACGAGTTAAGAAAGCTTATGGTGATAATAGTAATGGGATATCCTGTTGGGCTTGTTTGCACCGACAAGTTCAATCAATATTATTTTGTGTGGTCTTAGTCGGATATATAAACGTTATAAATAACAATCTAAAACAAAACACTTAAGAGGTCAATTTGAGGCGGGATACTGTGGCAAACTTTAATTTATAAAGTAAAAAACCAGGTAAAATCCCGTCATGCGAGAGCAAAAAGGCTGGCTTAAATATATAATGTATAAACAAGAAGTATTGAGACATAACAGAGAATGGATATGTATCGTGTCTGTGCACCGATACGTTTGAATCAATATTTAGATCGAAAAAGATCATAAAATGCATGATTGATAGGCTGCCATATTTAACTCAATAAAGCCACACACGTAAGCGATAACAAGGTTAAATACACTCATGATAAAGCCGTTGAGTTGAAAAGGCTGATACAATACGTAACCCTGATCTCTAGAACAAAYAATCCTTGCAGCTCGCACTCGGCGTAATTTTCATTATTTACGAGACACGCTTATAAATCTAAAACAGTTGAATTCATATGAATACAGCGATTGATTAAGCACACGCCAGTACCATATATATAACGTTATAATTTATAATGAGAAACAAGACACTCTTGAAGAAGCCTTAAAGCGCTTCACCTCCCTTCAATAAAGAGCAGCTGAACACTCAAATGGCTTCCTTACTGGCTTCCTTAGCTGCGTTCCTTCCGCTATAATTTGCATATTTACCCAGTAATACCCAGTAATTAGGAATTTTGATGCTTTTCAAATTCCTTAGATTCGACTTAGAGATTCGACTAATCTTTTTTTATAAGTACTTACGTTAATTGGAAGATTAAAACCCTTCAGTTATGCGTTCACTAAAATTTATATAACAAAATGACGCTCTGGATCGAACTGATGAAGGGGCTTTCCCTCGTCCCGAGTAGCTTTGCGCGCTTTGGGGAGAGGGGGGAGGGGGGAGGGGTGGGGTAAAGGGCGATTCCCTCTCGGATCCCTCCTGAATTTCCGAGTCTGGAAAAATTTTAATGGCTGATAGTTAATTAGAGCAGGAAAAACAGATACCTTGGGGGTGGGGGGTAGGGATAGTAAGTTGTAAGGCCTTTAGGGAGGAAGATCCATGAAATATAAAATGTTTTGGTGGGGGGAGAGGGAAAACGATATCTACCTATCCATTATAACATTCTTACTCTTATATTCAACTCCACCACCCATACAATGGATGGGTAGATATCGTCATTTATACCAGTAACAATTATTGAAGAAATAGAAAACGCGCGCACGTGCTGTGTGCTGTCATAAAGCACGCGGGGGTTGGCAGAACACGAGAGAAGTGTTAGGAAGTGTTCTGGACAATTCTCGAGTGTTCTGCCAATCCCCGAGTGCTTTATGACTGCACACAGCACAGCAAGCAAGTTTTTTATTTCTTTYATAAAATACAAATTACAATAATAGATAGGAATGACGCAATGGAAAGTGCGTGCGCGTGCAATGTGTTCTCATAGAGCACGCGCTCCAAACCAATCAGAACGCGAGATTCATAACAGTTATTTTATAATAATTTCATTACATCATTGATGACTTAACTCTTATATTCAACATTACCACCCATACAATAGATGGATAGTCTATGTACTGTTTAATAAACGAGCAGGAGTGTTTTATCGAGTATAAAACACGAGGCGCAGCCGAGTGGTTTTAGACCCGATAAGACACGATCTCCGAGTTTATTAAACGGCTTAGAAAACTGATGATGTATGTTTTCATATTGTACAGAATACTTTACGAAATGAACCAAGTTTGATAGAGAAAATCCAAGTTAAAGTTTATGCAAATGAAGACGAATCTATATCAGATATAAAATCACCTTCATGGTCGTGATTCCTATTGTGTTTCCTTCATGAATTATTAATGAGTTTTCTAAAGCCTCATTAACATTTTCCATCATTCTAAGTCTTATATTCAACACTACCACCAAAGCAACTGATGGGTTAATATCATCATTAATATCATAATCCATGTACGATTATAGAGTGTATAGTAATTTCTCTTATTAGAGTGCAAACAATTAATCCGTGAAACACTAATTACTAAAGAGTACAAAATAGTGCTAATTAAGCATTATAGAAAACAATGGAATTTGCATGAAATTGTGCTATTTAGTATTACTATAAAGTTTCACAGTTATATCGCTTGCACTCTACAGTACCCAACCACAATATTATAACCATTTCCATTATAGCTACAGTGATAGGCTCAACAATATCGGAAGCATGGTTAATAATTGTTAATATCAGTGTGGAAGAAAGAACATTATGAATGCGTCCATAAATTGATTTTATTCTTCCAACAGTACCGTAGGCCCTTGTTACAAGGATATTGATATGGTTTCGAAAGGGTAATGCACAAATTAAATGTATTTAAAAATGTTATAAAATTATTCAAAACTTAATTGTTCGACACTTATTCATGACTTAACTATTTAAAACTTATTATTTTAATAAAACTTATTTATTTATAACTTAAAACCCACATGTGACAAAATCCTCATAATCCCTCCTCATGTCCTAAAAATCAATGAAAGCAAAGATGAATAAAACACATATCTTGCAGCAATATACATACAGTGTATCATAAAAAATAATCATGGTAAAAGTTAACAGGCTTATGGTACTGGATTTTGCATAACAGTACAACACAACACAACCCGATTTACCCGGGGGGGTGGGTACTACCACCCCAACTTGGGTAGGCGGTGTGCTGCCAGGACCTCAAAACCCTGACCCTATCCCATAAAAATGATACCCTATCCCAGACCAAAAGTCAAAAGATGATACCCTACCCCAGACCCAAAAGCCGAAAAACCATACCATATAGGGCGGCACATACCCGCATAGCAAATATAGGGGAGCCATTTCAGACACTTTTATTGGCCAATTTGCAGTCCAATTTTTGTGTTTGCCTTGTCGACATCATATAACAAACATCTTAATATTATCCTTGCTATGTTCTATCTGTATGTTAGTTATGGAAGCTTGTTGTCCAACCCCCTTCCCTCCCCAATGGTTTATGATGGTATATGATGTATGATCACTAGGGGATTTTCTTACCTTTATTTATTATAATATTCTTCAATCTCTTGTTTTCCTCTTCTAATTCTCTTATACGACACTCGCGCTGTTCCAAAATATCATCATACTGAACCCTTTCATGCTGTAAAAACACAACGTCACAGGAATCTTCAGAGAAATTTTTCCGGGCGGAGGGGGAGTACTCTGCCAGAATTTGGGTAGGGGTGTTCCGCTGAGATTCTGAAAGGGGTACCCTGTTTATGATTAAAAAAATTCAAATTTGTGTACCCTGTTTATGACAAAAGATATAATTAATTGTACTGAGTTCCTGTTTCAATTATCATGTCATCTCGCGTATCGTTTTTTTAAGTCCATAACCAGTTTCGGTCAATATGAAAGTAGAAACCCTGAATATGACAGGAAACTCAGGAAGAACTTTGAACTTGAGTGAATTCGAAATTGCATATACCCTGTTTATGATAAGAAGCTTGAAAAACCCGGGGGGGGGGGGGTACTACCACCCCAACTTGGGTAGGGGTGTGCCGCCAGGACCTCAAAACCCTGACCCTATCCCAGACCTAAAAATTTGATTTTACGTACCCTACCCCAGACTAAAACTAAGAATTGTACACCCTATCCCAGACTAAAGGAAGGAAAAGACAGTTTTTCAACAGATTGCAATCAATATTTACTAACGTTTTTATTGTTTTTGTGCCGGCAGAAAGCGACAGCCTATACGCCAGACAAAAATGACCAAATCGTTAACCCTATCCCAGACTAAAATGATACCCTAGCCCAGACCCAAAAGCCGAAAAACCATACCCTATACTGGGCGGCACATACCCGTATAGCAAATATAGTGGAGAACCCCCACCCAGGGTTGAAAAACTATACCCTGTTCAGCGAATCATCCTCATAATCCAAATGTGGGAGCCCCCCCCCCCCCCCCTGGCTTGAGATCATTTGCAATGAGTTTTTGGCTTCCATCAATCGAAAATTTAACTCAGAAGATTTTGTATTTTAGTATAACCTTAGCTATAATGGCAGTCTATCACAATATCATGCACATACTGATTGCTGTGTTATTAAGTAGTGGTCTATCAGTTCAGTGATCACTAGTAGCAAAAAGTGCCAGTTTTGAAATTTGAACCAAA